ACGGGGACTCGGGAGCAATGCAAAAATGTGGGCCAGAAGGCGAATCTCCAAACGCGATGGGATGGGGCCAAACGCCGTAAGATAGTGCGTAGGTCCTCGCTCAGATTAAGTAACTAGATTGATGTGAGGAAGCAAAAGGTTAGCCGACGACCCCATTATCGATTTGTTACGAAGGAGGCATTACCGCCTTGCCCCGCTGATCCTCGTCGAAAGTCTGGGCGAACTCGGGAAATACAGATAGCATAAATATAAGCCAAGACAGTTCTACGACCTCTTAGTTGCTCTAATCAATCAGCGTTAGGAGATGAAAAAGAGCCAGTGAGAAGGACGCACCTGTATGTAAACCTCTTCTTTGTATGCGAGAATTCTCCGAGTTTGTGCCCAACCATGTCCTGCGTCACATTTACTGGAATGTAGTCTTTCCCATTGTGTACCATGAAGCGAATTCTGAAACGGAAAAAGTTGTAAGGAAAATAGAACAGTGATCGTTGGCACTCATACCCCACAAAATTGGGCAAAATCGTACACGACCTCGCCTGCGTCTTGATCGGCACATGGTTCGTCAATGCCTCTCGCAGGTTGGGGAAGGCAACGAAGTAAGGACCTAGAGTAATGAGTACAACAAGCTCTAGCGGTCAAAAAGAGGGTATTCACCTTTCCAAGCCGATCGTCCTTTCTGCAGAAGTTGTGTTGGACGCATTACGATTCCGAAGTTGAGCGTGACTGAGATTTTCGTGACTTCTCGTGTAAACAACAATCCCTCTCAACATGTGAGTAAGTATGACAAGGCGCCAAAACTCTTCCAACGTATTTAGGAACTCTTTGTAACCGCCATAACCCAGCCAAAATCACTTGCAAAAAATATATATCTCAAGCGGGAAGAGTGTATCTATACTTCCCAACCTCCACGGGGTCAGGGAGGAGCTCAAAAATTTTACCAAAGCAAGTCACTTGAAACAAGTATCGTTCCGGGTCGCTGATTTTGAAACTAGCGAGGTCGTCCATGAAAGTTTTTCGCAACTGGTTATGGTAGTCCATTAAGTGACCTATTATCCCAAAGCCCCTGACGCTGATTGGCCCCGCGCGGAATATTTGAAGAATAGAAAGCTGGCGGAAGTTCGCGGCGGAAGCGACCATGTCCGGCTGTGGGACAAACAAACCGATAGAACAGTTAGCCGTCAATTTAGGAAGTTTTGAGGGATCGCATACCACGCCGAACGATTCCACATTGCCTTCATCTGCCACAAACAGACCTAACTCAACCAGATTTTGACAGGTATAGAGAGGTGTCAATAAATTAGAGCAAATGCGCCACCTCATCTCACCAGAAGGATTGATAGACAGAACTGTAAGGGAGTCCTTGTGCATTGGAAGAGCCGAATGGAATAGGTCATGTACATGGTGGGTCGTTCCGAACTCAGAATCACGGTACATGATACGCAGATTCATCGTTAATCTCTGAAGGCCTGAATAGGATGTCAAGTAGTCGATGAATGTGCTCGTCACGATGTCCGTCTTGAGATTGGCCAAACGAATTTTGGCGTCCATTAAACCTTTCCAAAGTTCAGAGTTGTATACGCCAGGTGAGGTCGAGATATCAAGTGAGGTAAGGGAGCGAAGGAAGGGGAGGGTGGTTGCGTCAATGCATAACTTGACTGTATTGAGCGCCAGATGCGTCAAGGGGGGTTTTTCGGGAGAAAGTTCCTGTTTTGATGCCAAAGATACAAATTCGTGGAATGATAGAGAGGGTTTAGAGAAGTGGACGTTGACTTCGAGATGGGAGAGAAGAGGGCTATTAGCGATCACATGTGCCAGTTCACCAATAATCTCTGAGGGCAACGAGATTTTGCCATATGCATCGCACAAAGCGAGCTTTTCGAGACCGGAGAACTTTCTTAGAGGTAGATGAAATGGATCAGGTATTTTACCTCCGAATTTGATACGGACATCCTTGAGCAGAGGAAGAGCGCTCAAGCTGGCGACGGCAACCCCGTAAGGATCGAAGTATCTGAAGTGCCAACTATAAAAAGCATCAATACGTGGATCAGGTCGACAGCGACGTAAGGATTATTATGGCATACTTGACACTCTTCAAGCTGACCAGAGCGTCAAGGGCGGACTTGATATGTTTATCCAGATCAGAAAATCTTGGTCGAATTTCCTTTAAATCGTTCTCTGGTTGACCATTGTAGATGTCCGGTGACAAGGAAACAATAGTCAACCGCTTCGTGAGGCTTGATGCAGGGCATTGCTTGTTGGCGAGCGCAGCAAGCTGGGTTTCCGATTGAGTGATTCTGAAATAGTCAGCGTCGCAGTTGATAATAATATCACGGAAGAACAAAGGCACGACCACTTGGTTCAGTCGACGACATGTAAGACGAATACTAGCAAGATCCTTCAAGGGCTTGCGATTCAATCTATTGACCTATACCAGATGCACCAGACCTTTGATTAAGTACTTTTTTTTTTTCGCAAAAAATGGGTACCAAGTATTGAACTTACTTGATGGAAGATGTGTTCGAGAATGTCATACGGTATACCTGAGAGCGTCAAAGGCTCGGCAAGGAGAATCTTCATCATATGTCCCGTCCTATCCCGTCACTGCCAGCAGGAGATTCAAAGGTGACGGTTGTCGGTAGGATGACAAACGATTCCAATCTGACGAGTTTCAAGTATCTGATAGCTGGCTAGTTTGCGCTGCAGCGCGGGTTTATCGCTACGCCGGCCAAGCAGTTGGTGTTGTAACTTGCTATCTGCCATCTGCGGGCAAGTCAAAACCGTGTTTGGCGGATCAGCCGCAGCCAAACGTAAAGTGTTCGAACTTCAAGTTGGACCTCAATATTCAATCACCACAGGAAGTTGACAGTAAGTGCATTCTGCGTAAAGTTCTTTATCATTTTTTTATTTACACCTGGAACCGCTGGTTTACAGAATCATTCTTCCCAAACTCTGGGGGTCCATGTTTTGGTCGTTGGTCCTTGGACAGGTGCGAATTTCTGGAGAATCTTCTCCATCTATTTTCGATACACAATTCTTGAAGAGTAGCCTCCAGAAAGTGGAGCCACGTTACAAAATGGAACGAGACATATAGTGGCTTGATGTTGTATGAGCCTCTTCAATCTCCTTTGACACCAGATTGGCAAATTGAAATCGAGAGGCCGGTAAGAGGATGAGGGGGTGGTATAACGCAATATTTTGAAGATTAGAGCTGGACATCGCCGACGACGACGATGAAGGTGCTGCAACGGCGACGAGGTTAGAAAGGAGATAGAGGAGAGCAATCCACATGTGATGATTCAGATGATTATGAAACCCCCCAACCTAGCTTTCTTTCAACCTTGATGGCGAGCAACGCCTTAGGCCCATCTATGCAATCAGCACACAGTCTAGGACCTCGTGTATCGCTGGATGACGGAGTTTCATCCTTTACCATTGGCGAGTGCATTCTCATCAGGATTCCTGGAGGAATACAAGTAGAAGAATATGTTGAAGATGAAGTGACCGCCGTTGGAACGAACCTCCCACCCATTTCCGAAGGAACAGGCTCTCAGCATCTGGCATTTATTTGCAATATTACGGTCCACCCGCTGAATGACTCTTTCATTCTTGATGTCTACCCCGTTCTCGCTTTCTCTCATACCGACGGAGCTGTTGCCACGTACAATAACATGCGTAATCCCATCTCAAAAGCAGCACTTATCCCGCTCTCGCTTTTTTCATCTCGACACCCCACACCCCATGGTTTTGGACAACCTCTCACTTTGGGAAATTGGATAACTGTTAACGACTCCTTTTTGCATGTCCTCCCTAGGCGGTTTACTATGCCCATGAGCAGATCAGTAAGTCTTTCATTGACAATTGGCAATTTCTTTTTGATTACTATTGAAATTCAGTTCAAACGCTTTGAACCTCCCCTCATGATGCATGCACGCTTGCAGCTCCGCCTCCATCGTTACCGAGCATTCCTCTCGACCGCAAACCCTGAAGATCTCGATGTTCAATCCCATCATCCCTTTCTCAATGGTGAGAGTGGAGAAGATTTGCCACATGACCAAACTGGACATGGGGGAGGGCAGGCGACCAGCTTGCCAACCGTTATCGGTGATGGAAATGGGGAAGGGGGGAAATTAACTGAGGAGGGGCTAGCTGACGTGCTTGAAGATGTTGATGAGGATGCAGAGGATGGAGACGCCACCTTACTAGACGACCTTCGCCTCCTGGCAGCCTCTCATCCGATGTGGGAAGACGAACTGAAGCAATATATCCAAGCGCAGCAGAAGGAGAAAGAATGGATTCAGAAAGAACGCGCAGCAAGATTGGCCCTCTGGCGGGAAGACGCGGCTGTTGAGCTGTTGAGCTAAGCTCTTGAGATTGAGTGAGACATGGTCAAAATAAACTCCATCCTCATCTCACTCAGCTCACTCAGGGTTTTCTTCCGCCTGTTCCTTGGCCTGTCAGCAGCTTTCCTCCTGCTCGCCCCCCTCCCACCTGGCAAACCCTGCCATGATTGCAAGTTTATTAATCAGTTTAGATATCCCCATGGACCTCACTTTCAATATCCCCCACGGACCTCGCGGACCTCACTTTCGATACCCATTAAACGACCTTGCATAGAACCAAAACCCATCATCATCACCTTGACTTGTGTCATCCTTTCTTATCGTTCCTGTACGCTACTTGCATCGGGGTACACACGTTTGTGTACGTAGTCTCATGTTTTACTTAGAGTTTTTCTTTCTTCGCCTGGGAGTTTGGGAGGCACTTAAATTTATTAGATTGTCAAAATCATTCTTGTAGCAGTAGAATTTATGGCAAATGTTGATGGTTCTGTAATGCGCCTCAAATATGTCCTATGTCGTTCATCGATCATCCAAGCACTGGTCATTTACATTAAGGTATGTACAATTTTATCAAGTTGAGGTATACACGTAATCTGCAGTCTGCCTTCATTCAGTCCTAAGCCCAGGAGAGGAGCGTCACTAAAGCCTACTCTCCAAAAGCAGCGACTCCCCCCTCCACCCAAGCGTGCCCCGACCAAACGCAGCCTCCAGCGCCTCCCGAACAGTGCGCACAAAGACAAACTCCATCTCATTTCGAATCTCAGGCGAAACGTCGTGTTCCACGTCCTTGCGGTTCGCCCAAGGTAGGATGACTTTCGTCACCTGCGCTCGGTGGGCACCAAGAACTTTCTCTTTGATCCCGCCTACGGGGGTGACTCGGCCACGCAATGTGATCTAAGTATCGTAAGTTGTTTATTTCTGGTCCACAGAGAGAGATTGGAAACGTACCTCGCCAGTCATTGCGATGTTGGCCGGAACGCATGTGCCAGTCAACAACGACACAAATGCACACGTCTTTGACATATAAAATCAGCCACTGAACAAAAGGGTTTGCGACAAATTCAACATACCATGGCAACGCCGGCACTCGGTCCATCCTTCTTCTGCGCACCCGCAGGAAGGTGTAAATGTATATCAATGGGATCAGGGAACTTCAAAGGGTCTTCCGTCCGCGAATTGGTGATGCACAAGTCATAGGCGTGCCTCTTCACCCAACTCAACGCCAGTTCCCCACTTTCTTTGATGACCTATAAAAAAACGAAAGACAATGAGTTGCCAACCCACAAGTAAGGACAACGAAACTTAGCAAGCTCACATCACCCAAACTCCCAGTGAGTTTCAACTTTCCAGAACCAGGAACAGCAATCGTTTCCACAGGTAAAATCCCACCTTCGCCCTGTCCCATGACCACAAGTCCATAAACAACACCCCTCCTCTCCTCCCTCTCCCTCTCTTCCCCATCCCATCTCGCAATGCCAAGAATCTTCTCCAAATCATGCTCTTCGACAAGAGATTTATACTCCTTCAGCTGCGAAACTGACGTGCGTGAGCTTGTCCCCTCCTGCTGTTGAGTTTGAGCTGTGCCATCGAGGGACTCGGCCCATTCAACAGCCTTGTATCGTACCACACCACCAATGGCGCGCTCGAGACTTCGCACACCGGCTTCGCGTGTATACCTCGTGGTGATGTGAAGCAGAGCTGGCTCAGTGATATTGATCTGTGACGCGTCAAGACCGTTCGCTTGTAGCTGTTTAGGGAGCAAGAATCGACGAGCAATGTGCATCTTCTCGTCGTATGTGTAACCTTTGTCGGTGAATGAGCCAACAAACGGACAGAATGAAGGAAAGGTAAACATACCACTGAGTTGGATGATTTCACATCGATCCAAGAGAGGGGTTGAGATGCTCTCGAGCGTGTTGGCCGTACATATGAACAGAACTTGACTCAAATCAATGGGGACGTTGATATAGTGATCCTAGGAACACAACATCAAGATGAATCACTGTATGGCAGGAAAAGGGGCACTGACATTGAAGGTATGATTCTGCTCAGGATCCAATACCTCAAGCAATGCTGCGGCAGGATCACCATGGAAATTGCTCTGTCCAATCTTGTCAATCTCATCCCTAAGAAGGCATCAGTTGTCCAGCTCAAAAAGCGTACAAGAACGTTTAAAACCCACAAAAGCATCACCACATCCCCTCTCCCTGCTTTCCTCAGAGCTTGTACAATGAGGCCAGGGCCGCTGGCTACATACGTCCGTCGATGTCCTCTAATTTCCGCCTCGTCTCGCACGCCACCCAGCGAAATCCGCTGGAATGGTCGATCTAAAGCTTTCGCGACAGATTGTCCAAGAGATGTTTTACCCGTACCAGGAGGCCCGACGAACCTTGCGAGGTGAAAAAAATTAACAACTAACAGCAGAAGAGCAGGGAAACAAAACCATGCTGCTTACAGGAGGATGGGCCCCTTGACGCCTTTCTTGCCATTCCGGCTAGGCTTTCCAAGTGAAGATTGCACCCGAGGCTGTGGCTGTTGATTTTTGTCGTAGGCCACGAGCTCCTTGCCGTCTTTCTTCTCTTGGGTGTTCGCACCCTCGATATTTCGAGCCTCCGGCGCCGCCTTTGCGCTCCGACTCTCTTGAGAAGCCTCTTTAAGTGCAAGTTCCTTCGCCTCCCTTTCCGCATTCAACTCTTTCAACCTCACCACCGCTAAGTATTCAATCAAACGCTTCTTGATTTTTTCCAAGCCAAAGTGGTCCGCATCAAGCTGAGCACGAGCAGCGGCAAGGAAAGGCCTCGTTTTCAACTGAAGCTGGCTAGGCTCCGGTGCCGAAGAGACACGCGTGGAATTAGGCCAGGGAATAGAGGTAAGCCATTCAAGCTACAAACACGCGTTGTTGGCGAAAGAAACGACAGAAAGATATCAGAACATACATATGACCTGATCACTCCGTTTTCTACACTCCCTTGCGGAATTCGCTTCAGTCTCCGCCACTCTCTGACACCCATTTTGCGCTCTTCGGAACCAGGTTCCATAGCTTCAATCCTTCGTTTCAAATCCGCCATATCATCTGCTTCATGTTGTTCATCGTCGTCTAGCTCGCTGGACCATGTGCTCGAGGCATCACCAGACAGTGGGGAGTGAGGAGCAATACCGTTGGGGCCGTTTGATCGTTGCAAGGCGTGTAGTTCTCTCTGTATAGCGGTGAGTTGCTGACGCAGGAAGAATTCTTTCTGTTGCTTGGAGAGCGACTCGTCGACTGCCGTGGCAATCTTTTTAGAAACTTCTGAAATGGATGCCTGTTTGATGAATATGTCGGTGGCAACTTGCACACGTGCTTCAGCATCGGGAGTACTCAGAATAGCTGCCAATCTTTTGATTTAGTGATCAATTGCAAGAAGAAAGCGGGGAACAACAAAGGGAAAAAATGGCAGCGAGCCATTCCATAAAACGTTGAACAGAGAAAGAACGTGTCTCGGTATCACTTCCTAGACACGTAGCCGTAACTTTGAAAGGCAGGGATATGACAAGTGGAGGTAGACGGGTAGAACTCACCGAGCTTATCGGCATACTCTCCATTTACACTTCCAATTAGCACATCCGCCATCCACGGTGTCCGAGCATCGGTGATGTCCTCAAGCATACTAGCAATCTTATGATACCCTTCCTTTCTCGACTGCTGCAAAGAATCCTTCGCTAGTCGGTCCAGTAATCTCAAGGCACTTTGTTTGAATTTACTGGCGGTCTCATGAGAGGGGACTTTTTCCGTTGGCGGGTATTCAACGCCATGCATAGGCATACGCAGCAAATCCTCCGAGGAAAGACTATGTTTCGACGTATGGATAAGCCGAACACGAGTAAGTCCGTGGAGAGAAACGAGGTACGGCTGACGCGAATTACGCGCTGGTGGTTTGACAAGGCGAAGCACACGAGCTGCGGTACCCCATTCCGCGAGTACTGGCTCCGTATTTGGTGAAGTAGAGTGGTTGGTTATTGGGATTGCAGCAATGACAGGCAAGGTATCGGACTCGTCGATGAGAGATAGTAGTGCCTCTCCAATCTCCCTCGACACCGGCATGGTAAACCGAGAGGCCGGTAAGAGGATGAGGGGGTGCGGCAGCGCAATAATAGGAAGCTTAGAGCTGTACATGGCCGACGACGACTAGAAAGGTGCTGCGAAGATAGATGGTGAGATTAAGAACGAGGTAGAGGAGAAGAGACGTTGGAACTTGGAAGGGAGCAATACACACGTGATTATGATAAAGTTGCCGGAGCAGTGCACACGTCTAAACGTGAAAAGTCAGTGTTCCCTGCTTCAAACTTTCTCTCTCGTTCTTGAAGAAGTTCAAGTTGAACATGTGCATCGCATCTCTCGTTAAGTACGCTTCGTACCATCGTCTAGTTATGTTTCTTACAGGTTACAAATATTTATTTCTATGACAGGAATCCTACACGGAGCTGTTGACCTTTCTGTCAATCACTCTACAGTCTTGGCTCGTCAACCTTAGCCTCAGTGATGAAGGTAACACCCTGTTAAAGCGTCAATCAAAGCCCATGATTTTGCAGAGATTGACTCACAGTTGTAATGTTCTTCTGGAGTTCAGGAATAGCAGCCTTGATGAGGGTTTGTTCGGCCTCGGTGATCTTTCCAAGAGGGTTAATCTTGACGACACCTTGAGGCTGCGTGAAGAAATCAAGTCAGCGTAGATAAACGAAAGGACGACGAGAAGCCTTACGCCGAGCTCGATATTTGAGGAGAAGTACGCGAGTTCAGCGCCGAGCTCCTTGGTTAAAGCAGCAGCACCAACGGGGTCGGCCTCCAGACTGACATAGCTGGGAGCGACGATGCCCTCCTCGCCCTTGACCGCACGCAGAATTTTGGAAGCGAACTCGGCACCAGCGTAAGCCATTGACAAAGTGGCAGACCCTGCTCCACCCTTGGCTTTGACGACTTCATCACCGCCGAACTGGATGCGGTTCACAAGAGCGTCGAGAGAGGCAGTGTCGACGCTGGCGGGCAGTGGGTGCGAGGATTGCGAGAGAAGGGGAACGATCTGTTGGAACCGTTAATGAGGTTGTCCAGGTGGAGTGATATACGACTTACAGTGACACCGCTGTGACCGCCAACGACTGGTACAACAACATCCTTGGACAAAGAAAGATCTCCGATTTTCTCGGCGACAAAAGTTGACGAGCGAACAACATCCAAAGTAGTAACACCAAAGAGACTGAGTCGGTGTTGGTTAACGGGATCGAGTGCAGCAGTTACCAACCTACCGCTTGGGATCGTAAACACCAGCCTTCTTGAACACCTCTGCGACAATAGGAACAGTCGAGTTAACTGGGTTGGAGATCACAAGGACGAATGCCTTGGGAGCAGTAGCGGCGATCCCAGTTGCAAGATCTCTGACGATTCCAGCGTTGATCTGGGACAGGTAAACGATTTATACGATATATCGAGTAATCGAGAAACGCAGACCTTGAACAAGTCGTCTCTAATCACATCTTATCATCAATTATCGATCAGGCACCAGGGTTTCGCGCTCACCTTGTCATCTACAAAAAGAGTATTAGTCTCAAGCATTTTTAAAAGTTTGAAGAAGAAAACGGACACCAGGCTTCCTCGGAACACCAGCGGGGATCACGACAATGTCAGCACCAGTCAGTGTCTTCTTGAGACCATCATCAGCAGGCAAGTAACCCTCGACTTTAGCAGGGGTCGAGATGTGAGAAAGATCTGCAGCAACTCCCGGGGTGTTAACAATATCATAGAGGCCGAGCTATGGGTTCGTCAATGTCATATTTCAACAATTCGCAACAAAAAAATTCGAACCTCCGTAATGAGTGGGTTGGCCTTCAGGAGTAATGCCAAAGGTTGGCCAATTCCACCTGTTCACTATCTTAACAGGATCTGAAGTCGACAAATCAGCAACATACCAGCAGCTCCGAGGACAACAGCCTTGACCATTCTAACTGATTTTTAATTGATTGAGGGATGGAGGAGGAATCGATCAAGTCTAGTTGCCCCAAACAGGGGACGCGCTGAAGTAATAGGCTTCTGGATTCACGTGATTAGACTTATCCCGGCACGGCTCGCGAGTAGCGACGCACCGAGCACGCGCTTTTACCCGTCTCTGACCACCGATATTCCGTGTATTTAACGAAGGAATCCTACTCCCTCCGCAGGATCAATTCGGAAAGCGTTGGACGAGCCAGCATTCGCCTGGGATAACAAGTCATTCTCAACGCCGACAAAATCCCGACGCGTCCGTTGCGCCGAATAAATTTATATTAGCAAGTGTATCTACCAAAAATTAATACAGCAGTTATGGCTAACGGGCGATGTGAGAAGACGAGTTTTTTTGTATCTCTCCTTGTGCGTTCGGGTTGGCTTTCACGCAGCCGTGGATTTCATGCGTCCTCTAAGACTATAACGTGACAGGCCTATCAACCCACGTGACCTCGACGCGTTGTGGTTTTGTAGCAGAGAGGTAGAAACTGCTAACAGACGACAAAGATTTCAACTCACCAGTAGACTCTCCTAGATAGACTTCGATATATGTGAAGTCGTACCTAGGTTCACGTAACTCACCAGCGCAATCCATAAAAGTGGCGCGTATGTAATTGCGCCGAAGGAAAGCAGAGTTGTGCAGGAATCCCCCCCCCTTAAGTTTGCCTTAAGTCCTCCCATATATTTATTCTACTCCCAAAATCATACGTCGCGATCGACGATCCATAATTTCTCCGTCTCGACGACGTTCATCTCCACGCGTCATTGGCGGCCGCCAATGACGATGCAAAAAACACAAGCTCACGATCCATCTGAACTCAATAAAGTTCGTCTCGACAATGTTCATCTGTTCATCTCCACGCGTCGCCAATGACAATGAAAAAATGCAAGCTCGCGATCCCCATCTGGTCTAACAAAATATTCAGATGACGTCCTACAGCAGCCTACTTACAGCGACGCATAAATAATAAATTAGCGTCATCACCTGATACTTCAGCAGGAAGTCACGCACACCGGGACCTTTCATAAATTTCATCAAATACGACGCAAATCATAGGCACCTCCCTTCGCACCGATCACTCGGATTTTGACATATCATGTCAGTAGCCATTTATTCAAATGATGCCTAAATAGGAACCTTGCAAGAGCTTGTAACTCGCAAGTACAGGCAAGTCTTCATGTCGACAGACCACCGATCAGACTGCGTCGGCGCCGCTGCCAGTTCATATTTGAGTTGACGAAGGGTAAAGGAAAAAAGTATCGACAATCACTCGTGACTAGTTGACTCGTCGTCCTCGTTTCCCATTCGATCGTGGATACATTGTGTGTTTTTCTCTTCGTGTCGAATTCTGTGATCAGTTGAAAAAAATATCTCAGCGTCGTGCTGAAGAACTCCCCACCCTCATGAGTCGTTTCCCTCGAGTCGGTCATGGGTCCCTCACCTCACCCCCCCAAAAAAAAATCGCAGCGGCTCCCTTTTCGCCAAGTAAAAGAACCCGGAACAAGCGCATTTCAAGGGCGAAGTTACGCTTCGCTCACCGACATTCTGGCGGTGGAGCCGGCGGAGAAGCTTTGCTAATTTTATATTTCGGCCGATAGAGTATATTCCTTGCATCTCCTTCCAAGGGCTTTTTTCGCCTATACCTGATTGTTCTATGTAAACGGCTCCACTCACCGAAAAGCACAGCTCGGACGTCGACGCGCAAAGATACTTGAAACGCCCTCCAACATAGATCCGTAGGAAATATATACAGTACGGGTGATAAAATGGGTGATATAATTCTGACGTCACATCTTGCCATTTCAAGACCTTCACCCGAATTTCCAATTCACCAACCTGATGCTCCGTTCAAACAGGTTAAAACTTGGACTAAGGCTACGCTAGGGGGTCAAATTTCAATGAAAAATGAAGAAAAATTCAAATAAAAATTCCTGTGGGTTCGGAGATCATGTTATCTATAATCTGATTGCCTCGTTTGGAATTTAATCCCAGCGATGGCATGAGGCGGCGTACTTGCCCGGTTTACATGCATAAGAATCAATTGACATGGACCTTTGCCGTCAGGTATGTACGATGTCATTGACGGGAGGAAACAGGGAAGCGATAGCACGAGGTGAATATCGGCGGCGGACCTACCAAAAAATTATGCAGTTAGTACGACAGGTCCGCGTACGCCCAAGCACTCCAAGCACTGTGCAAAAAGAAAGAAAATAAGGCAGACATCGACATTCCAAAATTAACAAGGAAAATAAATCCAGACCATGGCCGGTACGCACAAGCTCACCTTGAGTGAAAAAAAAGAGCACCAAGAATTCAATGAAAGCATCCCCAACAAGTGCTACTGTAGCACCGCGACTTGGCACTTGGTCCGGACTAGAAGGAAAAAAGAAAAAGGCATCACCAAGAAATGGGCGAGGATCCGGACTCGATCTATTACATAGTAGTCAGAGCTCCGAGTCGTAGTCGCGATTCAGCCGGCAGCCAAATCCCCGTCGATGTCGTTGTGGATACCTGCAAGATGTCATTGAAGTGCAGCAACGTTCATACCTTACCTTAGATAATCGATAAGTCCATCAACCAACACACCAACAACCTGGCGAATCAACTGTCGTTCGTTCGTTCCTCAAGGGCCCACCCAAACACCTTCGAAACGGTGATATGTCCAACTTTCATCCGCTTCCAAGTTCCAATCACCAATCAGTGGCACTTTCCCTATATAATAAGCTGAGTTTTCGAAGCCTGGCACTCGGAATTCAGTCGCCCCGTAGCTAGTATACAGTAAAACCCTGATATAGATTACTCACCGGAATCGCTTTGGCCGATGTACCCGATAAGGAGCATTGTATAGAAAGGACAGGTTCCGGTTCGGAGTACTAGTGACGATGGTGCAAGCAGCGATGTACACGGAGACAGGGGGCAGTTGATGGGAGTGGGGGGGGGAGGGGGGAGACGTGCTTACTTACCTTGATTGTCCATACTTACCTGACGTCCAATAGTAGGTCCCTTGAACTCTGAAGTAAGCTCAAGAGGTTGATCTCCTCCATCACTGCCAAGACAGAAGCAAAAAATAGATTCGGGGGTGGGGACGCACTTGAAGGGTCCACAGCGATAAGATCGCTTATTGCACTGCGCTGAGCCTGCGGTGATTGAGGACTTGCCGAAAGCGACTTCGAAAAGGCAGTATCAGAGTCAAAAGGTTACTCGTTCTTAGCATCGGATGGATTCAAAGCGAGTTCACCAAGAGTATGTATTATCATGCCAATGATGAGCGGATAAAATAACTGGGGACGAAAGATGGTACATCGCTAAATGTGGCGAGCGTAGTTTGGATTCTAAATGCTGGGGGATGGGATGATGATACAAAAAGCGTGCGGGGAGAACAAAAAAATAATAAAAGGGTATGTAATGCGGGGCGGATTCGGTTGGAGGGCGTGAAGAGGGGTTGTGATGGTGATGTCGTGGGGTGGGAGAGAAGGGGGAGAGGAGTAGATGTCATAAGGGGGGGGAGAAGGGTGATGATGTCCAGGGTGCAGAAAATAGACGTCCACGATCGCTGACACGCAATCTATCACTATCGATCGTTGGGGGGGGCAAGAACGTCTGAGGAAATCAAAACCCTCCAAGACACCCATCGTCGCTGACGCTGAAACTCGACATAGACTTGCACAGAGAGGCCGCTGAGCGGTTTTTGGTTCGTATCCGATCGGGATCGCGAGAGCTCTCGTGCTTTCGTTCCCGCTCCCCGCGACGACGACGGGGTTTTTGTTGGACATCCTCTTCGTGGGAGTAGTCGTAAGGATATGACGGGTTTATGGGAGGAGAGGGAGGGTACGGGAGGAAGGAAAGGGCGGATGGGGAGGTGGAGCTACCATAGACGTCTACGGGGGTATAACTATTGTGCTCTTCGTAACGCGATGCGGGAACAGCAAGGCCATGCAGTCCGTATGATTGTGTAGAGTTTGCGGGAAGATTTGAGGGAAAAGAATCGCTCTCGTCAGACTCTGAGGACAGATCAGGGATGAGCTGAGGCAAACTCGGATAGGTGAGGGTTGGGGTGCGTTCTGGGTCGTCTTGGGGCGGTGGCTGACGGAGGGGGGACGTTGGACGGGCTGAGGCAAATGCAAGGGCGCGCGGGTGAAAGTCGCTGGCGTATGCATAGCCGCGTCGTCCACTGCTCTGAGCTGCAGCAGGGTCGTCAAGCAGATAGGTGCGGCCCGGGCAGCCGCGCTCCGGGAGAGCACAATTGTTGGGAGAGACGACTATAGGAGAGCGATCATAAGATGCTGAGGAGTGGGCTGAGAAGGTATGGGTTAGAGAGGGCGAAGGGGGGAAGTGAACTGCATGGTGGTGGTGGTGGTGGTGGTGGTGGTGTTGTTGCTGTTGGTAGGAGGTGGGAGTGCGCTTGAGGATGGGTCTGGGCAGCATCATGGGCTGGTGGGTGGAGAGATGCTGCGAAAACAGCTAGTCTTTTTAAGAAGACCAGGGTGTTAGCAGAATAGAGCCATGGTCAGGTTGGTGTGAGATATGTATGGGTGGTTCAAGACGAGGCCACACTACAAACAAGACATAAATACAAAACACAGTGCATTGTTTGCCCTTCGTGTGGCTGCGTGTGGCGCATCCGCATTTGGTTCAATTACATAGTCACAAACGTAACAGCACAGATGTCACAGATTCCTTGGGGAGATTCTTTTGCGATTGATGCGACCTCGCTTGTTTCGTCCGATTCTTCAATAGTTTTACACCAGCCGCAAACCTATTTTCGTCTCCCCCCGACTCCGGAACCCGAAGATCTTCCTTATCGACTTTCTGTCCCCCCCTGGCGTAAATCCCTCTTTCACTTATCAATCAGACATATCTTTTGGTGGCGCTTATCTCAAAATACTAGCCACGTTCTCAACAATCCACCCAATGCCTCATGCTCAGTGATTTCTCTCTTCCTTCATGGAGCCACCCTTGCCAAGCACAATCTTATTTAACAAGGCCTTGACCTGATCCCGCCCTTCGACGCTTCTACTCTTGGTACCGGTACCCATTCTCAGCGGTATGGCACTCTTGATCTTCCACCTTGAGCGTCTTTGCCATACCCCCTATTAACCATTAACTTTACTCGGCAAACGGCCATTCCAATCCCCGTCTCTTCCACTTCTTTGATACCTTCTCTTCAAACCTTTCTTTCCGGTATGTTTAGCACCCGACCGCCGTCAGATATCTTTCCAGAAATCTCTCTCTGTGTGTGCTTCTCTAGAGATCCCCGTCTGTTCGTACCATCCCATCCATCCATTGACTCTCCGCCAATTTGCGTCCTCTGGTCACCCGACTCGAATGACGCCATAGCTCTCAAAGTCACGTTCACATCAACCACAGCCTGCACTAACCTTGAACAGGCCAGAGGTCGCGAGGTTATATCGTGCCTGGTCAGTCCACCAGATCAGCTTAGCCGCGGTCGCCCAAAAATCCTTTACATACATACATGAGATCTCACATCTCGGTTACGCCGTTCGTCTGGAACAGGTTAACTCGATATGAGCGCTCCCCCCTTCCCCCCCCTTTTCCCAGTTATCACAGTCCTGCTTGTCGCTTGTAACTTATGTAACACGCTGCGATGCGACAATAGATATGTACACTCTATCAACTGCCGTCAAACTCTCAATGAATGAACGTATCTTCTTCTTCTTAATGATCTTCGTCGTCGTAAAGGTTGAAGCTACTTTCCACCAGCGTACTGGACCCAGTCGAGACCTCGCCCACTGGCACCAACACAGTCGATCGCAGTCATCTGCGCTGGTCAGGTTGTCAGTAAGTACATAGAAGACCCATCATTCGTATTTAATTGGTTCTTCGCATAGGACGAAAAGCAGCGGAACCATTTGGTATTTGGTGCCGCGGGAAGGGAGGAGAGGGGGGAATTTGATTTGTACACAGTCACCCCAAACCGCTCACATGGGCCAAAGGTACCTTTTTCGCATTGTTCTGCCTCTTTCAGAAATAGCTTCGTTCTCCAATGATGAGCGAGGCTTAACTCAGGGACTCGCGGATAAAGGAACGTTAGACTGTCATATCGTATCAACGTAAGCCTGAACCCGCCGGTTCAGGTACCTTCATCGTCGACGGGGCCTTGACTCCGGGTGTGGCGAGCGTACAAAAGACACAAAGGAAGTACATACGTGCATGCAATTTACAACCCAACAGAGAACCACACAGAATCATCAACAGAATGTTCTTATTGCAAATGATGCTTGCGATCAGGAACAATTGTGGGGTACTCAAGCCACCATTGCTAGGTCATGATGTGGGGGAAAAACCCACAGAATCACAAGGTCAACTGAAGCCAGCAATCCAAGTCGGGGCTGGTGATTGCAAAAAACACAATCTTGAATTGATCGCATGGAAATAATAATAAAACACGCCACAAGAGGACAAGAAAACAAACGAAGCCTCTCTGTCTGAAGAAACATCGGCGAAACGTCTGAAAAGTTTTGACGAAGCCCGTCATTGACATTATGATCATGATTGACCTCAAAAGAAGCGCACAACAGGGTCGCTGGGCAACGCGCTCCCACAGTATAGGTTGTCAAGATTCAAACGCTCGCCACACCCGGAGTCAAGGCCCGAAGGTAAGAGTCAGATGGTCTCGTCAAGAGAGAAATAGTTCGAACGTGACGAACAGTTGGGATCAAGACTAGGACATGACATCGGCTAGTGAGTTATCGCGAGATGTGGCGACGACTGGCGAGGGAAGCTTGGAGTGTTCGAATGGATGGATAGAGAACGCGTCCGGTTGCTTTTGCGCCAAACTTGACGAAAATATCACGCTCCACGGCGGACAACGCGAGAGAATCCGTGCTGGTTTCTACTGGCTTGGTGAATGAAACTCTTATCTTGGAAAGAGTGTAGAGGTTTCGTTGAGTCTTGGCGAGAAGTGGAACATCTTTCATAGAGACCCATATGAAAGGCAACGAGTGTAGAGATTTGGTTGACTCTTGGCGAGAAGTGGCAACCATCTTTCATAAAAACCCATATCAAAGGCAGCTTTGACCGAGCTTGAGTTCGAGGTTGCGTTATCAGCTCTTGGCAAGAACATCTTCCTTGGAGACCCAAACGTAGCCTAAGCCTTTGCTCGAAAGATTCTGATCAGTACCAAGTGAAACGGAACCTCATAGTCGGTGGAGCGTTATTCCTATTCCTGATGACGAGCTTCAAGGTTGCGTTAACTTTTGGCAAGAACATCTTCATTGAAGACCCAAACGTAGCCTAAGCCTTTGCTCGAAGGATTCCAATCAGTACCAAGTGAAACGGATCCTCATAGTCGGTGGAGCTTTATTCCTATTCCTGATGACGAGCCTCCAGGTTGCGTTACCTCTTGGCGGGAACTGGGGCTACGAAGATTTTGGCCTCGCATGTACGTCGTCGAAGGTGACTTTGGCCCGAGCCAAGCCCCACTCCCATCATGAAAGTGACCAGCGATGCCGAACTAAAGATAGAACCGATGAACAGGCATGATAATTACGCGAGAAGAAAAAAGAAAAAGAGACTTGCCAAATGAGTTGAGTTGTAAAGCGCTGATACGATGCCGCAGGTCGAACCAACGCCAAGGCCTTCCTCGACGAGAAGAATTAAGGAAGGAATGAACCCAAGAATGAAACCAAAGGAGCACGGCTAATAATAGTACGCCAAGCAACCCTTGCAACAGGCTGGCTCAACGGTAGAAACGCGGGAAAGGGTGTTTCCTGTCCTCGCTTCTCGGGGGCCCTAATAAGCCCCTTCCAAGTGAATGTTCCCGAGACTACTCCCAAGTAAAGCATGAACGCCTAGGAGCTCCATGGAAGGCTTGGAAAAGGTCGTTGTTATCGTCGATTAGCAGGCTACGAAACGTTCTAAATGGCAAGTACTGGCGGGGACCTAGAAGAAGAAGAGACAAGCCCTTTGGCCTTGGGTTTCAGATCCTCGGAGACTCGGGGACGCCTGTAAACCAGCGATTTCTCCCGAGTCGTCGCATGGAGAGGGGTGGTGTGGTTGGAATTTGCATGCAAGTTATTTTGTTCTGACAAACAAAAGGGTTTGGAGTCACCCCATCACGCACGCCCTGGCATTCTGATTCCGCCGCCTCGAGAAAGACCTTGCTTGCCTGTATACCCGAGTCGGAAAATGCGTGAGTATGCGTGTGGAATATTGAGGACTGAAGGCGTTAGAGACACAAGTTGAACGGTGAGTCCGACGTCGTGGATTGATCACTCATTCATGGAAGGATTCCAGCTTCAGCCTCGTGGAAGGAACCCCTCACACTCTGAACAGAAAGATACATATCTCCAACGTCCACGGAACGGGGCGAAAACAAAACAACTTTTCAGGGATGTGTAATGAGTGGGACGAACTGAAAGGCACCATTCATCCACTCTATTGGACATGCTCAATGACACGCAACTGATCATGTGCATGAACATTAATACAAGCCAAAACGTCCTGTCAATCTCATGTCACTGGTCAGATACAAGATGTCGACGAAATCGCCAATACAGCATGTTTATTTCTCCGAGTCCCACATGAGGGTGCTGCGTGCCGAAATACCATATCACAGCACAAGGCAACAACAAAATTAACAAGGACAACATGTCATTCATTTGTGTTCGTTGCGTCCGCTCCATTGCTGTCGGAAGGTACGGTTTACTTTATCATCTACTTACCGTTCAATACTTATCCTCTTGCAGCCTCTCGCCGCGTTATACTCAGAGTACTTAGCGCCCGGTGATCAATGACAATTCCTTGGGGAGAAGATAAGCACCCATTCAATCCCGCATGTTGAACCATCGGATCATATGTCATCTTCGCGTGGCTGCATTAAGGACCTGTACGTAGCAGACCAAACACCCAACTCGTTCGCTCAAGGGAAACAAACTAAGTGGCTGTTATGTCCTCATGACGCTCATGTGGCCGGTTTGGCGTTTCAGATTAGGTTGGATCTGTAAAAGCTTGTCGGCGGACGGGCCATAGGCGCTGGTCATGGGGCTGTACCGAATGGATTCTGGGCGCTTGATAACGAGCTCTACATGCAATGATCCGTTCATGACAACATTCACATCTCAACGCTCGCGGGAAATAAGTGGTATAATTTTCCAAGTGGTTCCCTTCCAAGGAAGACACTACTATATATTATGAGGGCTCTAGGTTGCGCTCGCGGTCAATGACATTAAGCACGGCGGTCGCAAGATCACATCAAGTCCTCTTTGAGGGCGTTTTCGGAGTCCAGCCCAACTTTGGTGATTTCTTCCACCGAGTCGTCGTGCAGGTTGGATTGAGGTCCGGTGTAATGGCGATGAGCTCCCAGGATATACCAAACGCTGCACGGAAATCTATCAGCGGATAACAAAGGTGACAGAAATCGACATACCACGCAAGGATAATCACGCCTACGGTTATGACCTACGCCTCGCAGTGAGCACAGCAAAATGAATCCATCTATAACTAAAACTCACAGAGGCATAGTTCATGTTGTCTGCTGTGACGGGCATCACGGTCGGTAGTGAGAATATGACACAGACGAACAAAGTCCAGGAAATACACATAGTATTGCAGAGAAGGCCCACTACCCCGCCACCCATGTAGAATGGGCCTGGTTTAAACATGACATCGGGATGTTTGTGGAACACCCTTCGACAGAAAATGGGGATGATATAGCTCAGGTCGAGCGCCATCGCAGTCAACGAAAATATGGCATTCGCCGCTATAGGACTCGCAAGGTCGAGCAGTCCAGGAAGAACGCTGACGATCGTCGTACACCAGATGGCGCGGAGGGGAGTCTGTGTTATTTTGGAATTCTTCCCAAAGTAACCACGGTCAGGCAAGCCTGCCCATGGGATGATAAGCAATGAGCATCAGTCTAGGAAATGACGTTGCGCACCGTGGTCGCGGCTAAATGCGTAAATTGTCCGCGAACATGCATGAAGGGCGGTTTGCACGACGAAAAAGGCGGTGATACAGACGAAAACCTGGAAGAAAGAAGCAAATATGAATATATAAGAACGGGCGTAGGCAGCCTTGTGATCTACCCAGATAATCAGCGCGCCAGCCTTGCCTGCTCGCAATACCAGGATCTCAAGGAAAGCGGATCCAGAACTGCCGGGCAGATTTTCTCTAAAGAAAAAACGTTCGGTCTTTTCCTCAATCACTGAAGTCACGACTCACAGAGGACCAGAGCAAATGATTAGGACGATGTTCAGAAGCCAACCGATGATACCAGTCCCGATGACTTCCCATGGTGTGAGTTAGAGATATAACCCAGACGGAAAGACATACCTGCAATAAAAATCGCGGATGGAGCCGCGTAGGCTGCACGGCGAACTTCCTCTCTAGATAAAAACAAGAATATCGGATTGAGCCTTTACCCCAATCTGTTCAGAGGTCAAAACGGACGAGATGTGGGCAGTGGCGTCATAATCCTATTCCGCCGTTAGTAAAGCTCGGTCTCATTGATTAACAAAACTCAGAACTCACAGTCATGGTCCATTGAACGCTTAACAATCCAAACAGGAACGCAATACCCGTATTCCAACCTCCAGTTTGGTTGACAATACCAGCCGTCCCAAAGACATAACCAGCAGCATGCATTTCAGAGCGAGGAGTCTTGGCTAGAAGAACGATAATTATGACTGGAGAGTGTCAATCAACAGCTTGAATTAATCGCGGGGGGAGGGAGCCTACCAAAGGTGGTTCCGAGATTAACGAATACAAATCCTTTGGTTAAACGTGCGAGGTGCCGGGTTGCCAAAGAGTTCTAAATTCGTAACGACATTCGGAAAGTCAACTTTCTTTCTCCAGCGAACGAGTCGTTGACGCGTCATTACCAGCAATCCGTGAACAGCAAGAAGTCCGGCGAAAAGTCCAACTATCTTTCCCTGAGAGCAAGTTCTTCCACGTCAATTTGATATCGACTCGCCCGGATAGGTGGGGTTCATACCGCAGTGATGTCATAATGCCCATTCTGAAATTATGACGTTATGAGGTATAAGAGCGAATACAATGTATGGCATACCTTGCCGATGGAAACCGCTGCGAGAATCATGTTCGCCAAACCGAATTCCGTTGAGGATATACCCGCAATCTGACCTGAATGCTGTTATATAAAAATCGGTAGAAAAAGGTAGCATTTACCAAGGATGTTGAGCCAGCCGACGACCCATCCGATCTGAAAAGCATTTAAAATTAATCTGTAGAAGAAAAAAATGGGCGTACCCTTGCACGGTGCTTCTTTGGCGTCAGTTGCGCAGAAGCGGTATACCTTGACGAGGTAAATTGGCCTTATGCAGCGAACGAATTTGACTTGCACTTACAACCCACCGCAAGTCGGATATGCGCTGACAATTTCTGCGATACTAGCCCCCAAAGTAAAACACATACACGCTCCGAGAATCCAACACCACGTTACCTACGTAGTATCATTCTCAGTCCTGTTGCTCCCCTAGAAATAAAGCGCACTCACAGATGCTGGACCTCCCAGGAGCAAAGGGGTATTGAACGTCGTTGCGATACTTGAGCATAAACCCTAAATCAAAATTAACACGACAAGTCGTGCGACCTGGACTTGAATCCCACCTACCATGATACTGAACGCAAAACTTATCTACCGGTCAGGGATGAGTGACCTAGTCCAGCTCAAAACACATAAAAACTCACCGTAGCCAGATTAGAAAACTCCCGCTTGAACGAGGGCTTGTAGCCAAGCGCAACAAGTTCCTTGTCGTCCTCATCGTTGGTGTCGAACGAATCGCTGCGTTTTTCGTTGAGTGACATGGTTCAGGGGGTGGGAGGGAGTTAGTGGGATAGAGTCCGGGGGTGGTGGTGGCTCTCCAACGAGAAGCTGAGCTATTTTTTGCTGCAAGCGGCCTTTGCTAAATTGAAGAAAGAGTCCTCACACGACCACACGCTCGGAATCAACGAAAAAGGTTATACTGCCATAACGTAACAGAAAGCGCATGAAATCTCTGGAGATGGCTATTTTTAGTCGCGTAACCGGCCCGGGTCAACTTCAAACTTGTCAATATTCTTGGCATTTCTACCCTCTTGATTTCTATAGTACACACATAGCTTCAGTCCTCAATGGGATGACGCTTACCATCCTCCTTTTACTTTGAACCAGGCGATCTTTATCAAGGAAGCAAGTCTCTAGAATAAACCACCCGCTCACCTCGGGCAAGGTTATACCATTTATCAAATCTAATCATTCGAGCTGATGTCGTGAAGAGATGACATCATGCATTTCTTTTTTTTTTTTGCCTGGGCGATATTGTGAGGGGTTTCCAAGGCTGCTTTGTTGCATTCGCCAAGTTCTGTCTCTGATTTCGATCCTATAGCTACTCGCATAAATTACCAAGCCAAATTGCACGCATGGCTGGCAAAGCTTTGGGGGAACACCTATCCGTTGTCACAAAACTTGCTCCATCGATGCTTCATCTTTTGACGAAACTATTTTTCTTGTAAACTTCTATACTATGCATGGAGCGTTGATATTATAGGAACAGATTTATTTAAATCGTCCATTAGACAAAGGGAGAAAATTCTCATCCAAAAGGATGACATATGTAGATCGCATAATATCTGTATGCGTAGCAAATCGATAACGAATGCATGAGTTGAATGCTAGGGTCGAGACGTAGGCTAATATCACAGCAATTTCACAGCGAGTAGCAGGGACATACGTACAAAAAGAGGGAAGTGAATAATTTCAAGAAACGAAGTCGAAAGGGGAGTGGAAATGCTGGGGTGGTATACAATCAGGAGATTCATGAATGGGTGGAGATGGAGAAAAGATTGGTGAAGATGTCACATAGGGGCCGGTATCATGTTGCGTCTCCGGGACGTGTTGTCGACGTTCTCCTTCTCGTCCGAAAGGCTAGTTTCGGACCCAGCTCTACCTAGGGGTCGCATCGTCTTCTTCACGACAGATTGTTCTGCCTTACCAGATGGGGTGCGAGAGCGAGATGCTCCCATGGTGGGGACAGGTTTCACTGAGGGTGTACGGGACAGTGAGGCGAGTCGACCGGCAGGGGTGGGGGTGCCTGCAAGGGATCGTGAAGGTCGTGGCTTCATAGGTGGGGGGCCCATGGAGCCTTCAATGCCGCGAGCAGGCTTGGAAGCTGAGGCGTTGGTGGCAGTTCCATTCACACGGGAACTCTTCCCTAAGGCCAGAGGTCTCGTCGATCCACCGTCTGAGGGCGTCGAGCGTCCTTTTCCGAGACCGGTATCCGTGCCAGAATCGGAGATTACAGAGGGCGGACGAGAGATCGGAGCGTTGCTAGTGAATATTGATGAATCACGACGATGAGCTACTTTGGAGGGTTGTGCTGGGGTACTGCCCGCAGTACCTCGGACGTTGTGTTTCCGTTTAAGCTGTGAAAAGAAGGTTAGACTGAAAGGGTATATGACGACACTTAATGACATACCAGTTCTAACTCCTGCTGCTTTGAATCCAATGCAATGTTCATGCCCAGCAAGTCTTCCTTATCTTGGGCGCGCTGCTTCGTGATCTGAACAATCTTGACCTCTTTGTCGGCACTCTCCTGCTGCAGCTCATGGACCTGCCTCCTGAGTCTCTCGACTTCGTCCCTGAGCGCATTGACTCTCTCTTTGGATGTTTTCATCTCAACATCGGCTTCGGCCTTTTGTCGGACCAAATCGTCGAGACGCATCTGTATGTCTCCCGCATGCTCAGAAGTATCCCGAAGTGCTCTATTCTGCTCTCCGATGGCATGTGAATGTTCTCGCTTCAAGTTGCTCATTTCTTCGTGGAGTCGCTCGGCCTCGGCTTCGGACTGGATAAGGCGCTGGGTATACTCGGCGATTTCTTCGTCTCTGCGTCGGTTATTTTCCTCGAGACGCGCTGCATTGTCAGCGGCGAATTGGCCCTCTTGCTCGAGTTGTACAAGACGATCGTCACGTTCTTGAACCGCAGCAGCGAGGCTTTCAGAATGCTCCTTCTCCTGCTGCAACTCGTAATCAATCTGAATAGAGTCGATGTCAGTAATATCCTGGGCAAAAGGGTACAACGAACCTGGTCCCTGTCTTTTTCAAGAGCCTCCTTGAGGTTCCACAGCTCCTGAACCTCAGCCTCAAGTTCATTCCTCTTGTTTTCACCGTCAGTCCACTCCTCCTCCATATTCGATGTCCTCGTCTGCAGGTCCTCGAGATCCTTCTTGAGGGCCTCTCGGTCGTTCTCTAGCCCGATCCTCGCTTTCTCCAAAGCGTCGAGCTTCTCTGAGGTTTTCTCCGTATGTGACCACTGAGCCTCTAACTCCGCTTTCAGCGTAGCGTACTCCTCATCGCGAGTGCTGAGCTGCTGTTTCACCTTCTGCACCTCGTCCTGCAATCCAGCGTTCTCAACTTGCAAGTCCTCCAACTTGACTTGAAGCTCCTCTTTCTCTTGTTCCCAATTGGCTTCAATATGTTGATGTCTCGCCTTCTCCTCGTCGTTCTCCTGCTGACGCTCCACGACCAGTTTCTTCAGCTCTTCTTCGTCGATCATTCCAACGCTGGCATTACCCATCATCTCCATTTGTTCCTTAGCCTCTCTGATGCCCTCCTTCAGCTCCCTCTCACTCTCATCGCGGCTCCAGAGTACTTCCTTGAGGTTCATGACATCTTCGCTACGTTCTTTGACGAGACTCTCCAGAGTCTCGATCTCCTCTCGCAAAACTTCCTCCCGCTTGGATATATCCCCCTTCTCTCGCTCCAAACTCGCAATCTGACGATGGAGCATACGCAGCGCTTCGCTGCTAGCTTCATCCATAACGCTGCGCTCCATGCTGTGATGTCTCGAATCTTCCACTTCCTCCTCCAAGAGACGACAAGCTTTCTCCAGATCCTGAACCTTCTTTTTCCAAGAGTGGAGAGCGGTTTTTCGCTTCACTTCGTCCTTCTCAAAGTCGGAAAGCTTTTTGCCGAGAATCTCTACCAGCTCATCACGAGCTCTGAGGTCAGACTCATATTGAGAACACAACTCCGTTTGCAATGCCAACTGCGTCTGCAAAGAAAAGATAAGACTTTCTTCCTTAGAGGTTTTGCGCGCGTGTTTTGGAGCACCTTGCGGAGGTGTGGCAGGGATCATGGTCTGAGGCGTGTAGTACGTCCCTGCGTTGGCGCTGAAGGGGTCGGGCTCACTGGGTCCCGCCGAGTAGACAACAAGATCTCCGCATGATTCGTCGTTGATATCGGCCTCAGGCGCTGTCGGAGATGTGGAACGAAGCATAGATTGGAAGACGGAGTCGCTTAGAGCTCTACTTCGACCCTTGGAGGAGTCGGGAGACGGTACACCCGAAGGTGACGGAGAAGTGGCATTCTCTGAAATGCTCCGTTTCAGACTAATCGATTCGTCGCGTATATCCTTGCTATTTGTCATCGAGTAGAAGATCGTCTGACCGAAGCTAAACGATTGACTGCGGTCATGAAGAGGTGAAGGCAAACGGGCTGATTTCTCTTTCGCATGAAAGATAGTTTCGTCAACAACTCGAGGCACAGGAATAGGGACATCTTCTTGGTCTCCCTGAGATTCAGTTGCCTTTTCTTTCCCCTTGAGTGACTCCTTAGACTTGTACGGCGTAGAGGTCATCCGGTGGTTGGAGTTGACGCTCTCGCTACAAGCGGCAGAGCTATTAGTTGAAGAGTTCAACTCGACTGACTCGTCTAGAAGCGGGGCGTTGACATCAAAACCAAGACCCGGAGGAAAATTTGGGAGTTCCAGCTGCTGGGACATGTCAAAGATATTGGAAAAATTAGGCTCCCGAGGACCGGATAAGGACATGTCGGACGTCTCTACATGTTGGGATTTCGCGGAGTTTTGACTGTCGCCCAAAGGAGAGAAAACTTCAGCAACAGTGGGCCTTGCGGATTTGCCGTTTGGAGAGCGTTTCTTAGCAGGAGTGCTGGTTTCCGGACCTGATTGATTTAGCCGGTCAATGAACGATAACTCATCCTTGGGTGGTGGTATGGGGAACGGATGTTGGTCCAAGTCCATTGACTGTTCCGGAGTCAAGACTTTGTATGCATCACGGGAGAAGAAACGGACGTTTTGGCCAGTGCCGGGAGTATTTGGGTCACGGAGAATTGAGCGGACTGAATTGAATCTCTCCGGAAAGGCTGGTGTGATGGGTGAGCGCCTAGAATCATCGTTGTGACCCAAGGCGCTTTGTGATCTCATCAATTCGTAATGGGAAGATTCCTGACGCAACAAGTCCAATGATGGACGGCGCAAAGCGTCGGCGGACGAGCGCGGCATCGTATTCTGCGAATGAGGGGGAGAGGGACGAAGGATATCATGCGACGACCTTGCTGCGATGGTCTGTGATGTACGCGAGACTTCTGTTGGATTGCTCGCTATCGAATTCTGAGAGGCTAATCCCATAGGTTAGTCGGGTGGCGTTGTAATGCAAGATTATATACATACCGCTCATGTTGAGAGGAGATCTGACTTTCTTGGGGGGACCGATAGGATACTTCAAAGGGACGGGTGGTCCGCTCTCGTCCTTGGCTGGCGCCTTAGACATGCGTTTGAACATGCCACGGCGGCTACCTTTACTCGGCGAACCAGGTGGACTTGGATTTGAATGTGAAACCTGCGAGTCATTTGTGTGGAAGAGAGATAAATTGGGATGCTGCTCGAAGACCTTGTTCAGGACTTCGCCTTGCGATGTAGACACCTCGTCGTCATGGGTTTGGCGAGGTTTGAGGGCATGGGTAATCTTTGACCACATCTCCTTTTATATAGAATCCAGTACAATGTTGGCGAGCGATGCCGTCAA